CTATTCTATTTTTATATCATATATCAAATTTTTAATTCGTTTTTTTATTTAGTTATTTATTATTATTATTTAATATTTATATTTATTAATATGAATATTTTATTCATATTTCATTCAAGTTCCAGAAGTTTGACCCCCCCCCCCTTCCTTTTTTTTTTTTTTTTTTTTTTTTTTTTTTTTTTGCGCTTTCGCTTTCTCTTTTTTTCTTTCTTTCTTTTTTGTTATTTTCCCATCCTTTTGCTTTATTCAGATTGATGTCTCGGTTTTCCTTTTTCTTTTTTCGCGCGAGTATATAAATACGTAATATATATATATATATATATATATATATAAACGTAGATATAGATAGATATGATATTTTGTGCTGCATTCTTGGCCGTTGAAATAAAATTTTGTTTATAAATTTAAAAAATTTAAATTCCTAAAATTTGATCGAATTTGAATTTTAATGTGCAATGAATTTTAAAATAATTATTTTTTCAATAATTAATTCTTAAAATTTTTATCTTTTAAAAAGATGGGAATCTAAAATATGAAATATAGTGGTTAAATTTTAAAAACAGAATAAAAATTAAAAATTTAGTTGTTCCAGAAACGAATCTTTTTCTAATCTAAATTCAGAATCTTTATTAGTTTCAAGTATGTTTATATACATACACATATATATTATATTAGGTGGTGGATATTAAAAAACAAATGGACCATTATTGAATTGCTAAATCTATATAAACTTAAAATTATTAAAATAGGACCTTTCATGAAAGGAAACTCATCTCTAAACTATGATTTTCTATTCAAATCACATTTTGTAAAAAATTTATATTTTTTAATATGTACATGAACGCAAAAGTTTTTCAAAAAATGCTACGGCTTGTAGAAAACTATTTTTATTTCTTTTTATTTTTTTTCTCAATTTTATTGTTTTTCTTTTGGGTTAGAAAAATATATCCGAGAAAATATGTTTCAATTTCGAGATAAATAATAATTTGACTTGGAGAAAATAGCAATATATATATATATATATATATCAAAATCAACTATTAAATGAGTTTTTATCTATACAAATTAACTGTAAAAATAAAATCAAAACGATGTTTACTGATAATTTTATTTAATACGTTTATTTGAATAAGAATCTAGTGGTACTCATATTTTCAGCTATGTACGAATTTTATTTTTAAAATTTACTTTTTTACTTTTTCCTCGAGAGAGTAAAGGACGAACCAATGAATCGAATCATGGGAAATATAAACTATACCCTTTCCATGGGGAAGAAATATCGTTATCAAACACTTTTTCGTGTATTATTGAAAAGGAAAAAAAGCAAATAAAATATATAAATTTTGTAGTTTTGTATATATATGTATTGAAATTTATTTTTGATAATTTTTAAATATTTTTTTTTATAAATTCATTAATATTTTAAAATTTATAAAAATAAATATTAATAATACTTTTAGTCGAATTTGATTTTAATATTTGCAGGTTATATTTCTATCAATATTAATTTTATTTTATTACTATTCGCAATGGTTATCAAAATCATATATTTTGTTTATAAGGTTTAGAAAATGCAAAATAATTGCTGTGTAAATCTTAATTTAAAAAAATATAATATCCATAAAAGAATCAAGAAATATCACACACAGTGTTGTGTGGTATATCGTAAAAGCCTTGATAATATCGCATACGGGTGAAACACGTAATCTAAGAAAACTTTCTCGTGTGGCGGGATTTTCCGAATTTCTCGTAGATTTTCACGTTTTCTCGTACAAACAGATGTCCCTCGTGCTACACACACACACACACACACACACACACACACACACACACACACACACACACACGGTGATATAACCCAACGGATCGGAGACGGTCGGCCGTTAGCTGTTTTGGGCTTCTGCCCATGGGCCCTACTCCCCAAGCTTCCATTTTATAACCTCTTTGCGGTAATTTTTGTGACATTTTGATAAATAAATAAAATCACTCCGAATATTTGTATTTTTACCTCTTTCATTTTTTTCCCCGCAGTGAGATACATCTGTAATTTTTTTATGCAAATTTTATCATGTAGAAGATGTACCATAAAAATCCACGTGGACCAATATGAAAGGTTACGAGTGGATATTTTTTTTATAAAAACAAATAAATTTAACTATTATTTTTAAAATCACAGAAAATAGAATCCGTAAACTTTGAAAATCGTGTGTATATATATATAGTACTTTTAAACCCAAATCTTGAATACAGATATAATTGAAAATAATCGAAATATATATATATATATATATATTAAAACTTTTTTTTGGGGCAAGGAGTTATTCACTCGTTGGAGTCAGTATACCCTTATGGAATGCATGATGTTCATGTATCATGTTACTATAAATGCGAAATAATTAAATCGAATTCAACTATTTTAATATGGGCAAGACTTTTTCTTGGACTATGCCACTCAAAAAATGATGTAAACATTTAAACTGTTTAATTTCACCAAACCATTTACATATTTAACAAATTGAGAAAATAAATGAGAATGGCATTTCCGTGATTTTCGCCATGTTTTTATTAGGCTTAGATAAAGCCCAATTATGTTAAATTATTGGGGCCTAGATAAAGCCCAATAATGTCCAAAACGACCATATCCATATCATAAGAGAACGTTTTGGGCCCATGACAAGACAATATTCTCATTGAGCTGAGACAAAGTTGATGGTGTGTATATATAAATAAATCATATTTAAAACCTCCTAAATTATTTGTCTTATGGTGATCAATGTGTAGGTAATATTTCCAACAATTTTGTAACAGTTTTCCTCATGTTTTTGAATGAATTTGTAACCATTGTTACTTGTGGAGGTTACCTTTTCAAACTTAACATAGACAACCCAACCTCTCCTTTGATGATGATGATGATGATGATGATGATGATGATGATGATGGATGATGATGACCATAAACAAATAAAAAGGAAGAAAAAGAGAGAGAGTAAGAAATTGGGTCAATGTCCCAAGACAAGAAGAAATGATTTGGAGCATAACTCCACTTGGTTTTTAACAAAACCTAATGATTACCAAAGAGATTATGATCTCTCTCTCCCTCCTTAAAGCCTTCCTTGATCATCATGAACCTTCCCTCTCTTCCCCCATCTCTCACACACACACTTACTTTCTCACTTTCTCTTTTTAAGTTTAATCTCATCTTTTTTTTTCCTTTCAAATTTATTGTGCACATTGTCCCATCAAATCGAAATACTAAATGGAACTAGGATGGACATTTGGGTTCTCGCAATCTAGAATTGTACTGAATCGATTAACTATATTTCGATTCGGTCCTGAATCCTCTCGCACCGTTATGATTTTGGTTCTTATTTGATATTTATTTAGTAAAATCGTACGAAACGCATCTAAAACAAAAAGAAATCAAAACCCTATGTCCAGTTGCCTATTATATACATAGTTTTGGACTAATTCATGCATAAATACACATATATATACATGGAATAGCATTTTTGTTTTGAAATATTAATATGGATAATAAACAAGAAAAAGTGTAGGGTTCCATCCGAGTTTGTATTTGATTCTAAGATTTTGGGTCGACCTGAATTCTTTGGGATATATAAAACCATATTACGAAATCTAATCTTATAAGACTTAGGTTTAGGTTTAGATCGAGTATGATTAATCTGTCTATATGTGAGTGATAATTTTTTTTTATTTTTTAAATTAAATCAGTTTTTTTATATCAATCGGAAATCAGATTTGAGTCTAACCCAAAAATTCGATTATTTTTTAACCTATAAATTTATATTCGAAATTCTACATACAGTCGGATGGGAAAATGCAATAAGAAAAAAAAAAATCGATAAAGGGCATTTATGTCATTTCAAAGAAGGTGTTGCTGTAAAAACAAAATCATAATGGATGCAGCAAAAAAGAAAAATAAAAAGAGAAAAAAAAAAGACTGGAGACAAAAAGAGGTGGACCAAATCATGCCGTGTAAGTGGATGAAGAGGACAAGATCTAGGCCGTTGGATAGAGTTAAAAAAATATCAGCCGTCGATATGATTTCTCTGGGACCCGCTCGTGGGGATGGCCTTGTTGACCGAATTGACCGGAAAAGCGTGCGTTAACACGCACACGTGGGAAGAATCCAACACATAATGAACCTCGATTTCTCCCCAGTTTTTACTGTATTACCCTCGTATTGTATACGAAGCACATTAATTCCATAAACTCACAAAAATTCCTCTGGAAAATAATTTTTTAAATTTTTTATTTAACAAAAATATTTTTTAAACCTACAAAATATATATCATTATAATTCTTAAACTTATAAAATATATATGGTTATAATTACTAAAATTTATTTTTGAATCAACATCATCCATATTTTTGTATACTAATTAACAAATTTGAAAATTATAATAATAGATTTTACAAGTTTGAAAATGATACTGATATATTTTTTAAGTTTGAAAATAAAATTGGTAAACTAAAAATTTTAAAATTTATTTTTTACCATTTTAAAAGTTAAGAAATTTTTATGGGTTTTATCCTTTTATATTTATATAAACTACACTATTTAAAAAGATTTATAATTATCTTAATTTTTGTTAAGTCAATCAAAGATGATTTTTTAAAATTATTTAAATTTTTTTAATCATTTTAATTTTATGGAATTCAAAAGGAAAGTATTAGACAGAATGTAAATAATACATATACAAGAGAAATTACGAGAAAAACATATTAGTTGGTTTGACTATATAAAATGTAAATCAATAGATATTTCATTTGTAAACATATAAAATATGCGATTATAAAAAAAAAAAGATAGATAAATATAGATTTAGATTCATTTGGGGTCATGATCGTATTTATAAAAAGGATTTTCATACAAAATATAATCACTTTATTTTCACTCTTTATCTTTTATGTTTAAACATATTAAAATCTACGCAATCTGTTACAAAAACATACATTTGTCTAGAGATTATCTATGTTGATTTTTCATATAATCTTGCTTAATTAGGGCAAATAACGCACACTACATATATAGTAACTTTTTTTTTTTTGTAAACTGCATATATAGTAAGTGCAATATATATATATACACACACGGAGATATGTTATAGCGTTTAATTTATTCAAATTAGCTCAAATTTTATACATCTTATTAAATCTAGAAATATTATAAAATACAAGGCTTGAGGACAAAGGGGTAGCAAGGTAAATTTAAAGAAAGAGGAATAATTGCAGAGAAATGAAGCATTAGAGACAGAGACAATACGCGACAGAGTTCATTAAGAGAGAGAGAGAGAGAGAGAGAGACGGAGATGGTGGGAGGTTAGCCCCCGAGAACGAAGCCAAACCCTCCAAAAAGATCCTTCCGTCGTCTTTTTTCTGAGCTCGGTGTTAATGGGCCTTCATCTTCGTCGCCATTGATTCTCTCTCCGGTCTCTGTGTTTGTGTTCGGGGCATGGAAGAAGAGCTTTGCCATGCTCAGACAGTTTATCGGTCAGCTTCAAGAGCTCTTGCACCTCCACGGCTCTCCTCCTCCTCCGTCGTCCTCTCCATTTCATCCGCCGTTCTACGTTTTCCGGTGCCCGGAGGATCGAAATGGGTCAGTTCTTTCTATGCCCCTCTCCGATTAGATCTAGCTCTGGCTGTTCAATTTCGCTGGGTTTTCCCCCTTGCAAGTGTGAATCTCCCCCCCCCCCCCCCT